TTTCAACATAAAAGAGTTAGAAGAGATTACATACCTTTTGGTGAGTTTGGTTCTAAGGAGTTTGAGGGCCAAGCACCAATAGTGTGAATGCCTCAAATGGAATCACAAACACCACAAACTCTTGGAAAACTTTGAGAGAGTATACACCTTGTATAAAATCGGCCACACACATGCAGACACACACTAGTTCACTAGTTTTCTCTTAGGCTCCATTTCATGCTCCATAAGCATGCTTATATAGTATGCATGGTTAGGGTGAAACCCTAATAACCCATGTCTTTTCCTTTTCCAAGGATCCATGGGTTAAAAGCTCCATGGATCATCCATGGACTTCCACATAAGCCTAGCCCATTAACAAATGAGTATTAGCCCACACTATATAAAACAAATAGCCCATAATCTAATTAGTCTTTCTTTTAATCTCTAAATTAATTCATAATTAATTTAAGACTAAAACTAATTAAATAACGTAACTTCATATTAATATATTATAACTCATAATATATTAATAAACATATGTGTATAACTCTCATAAAATTATCCATAATAGTTTGGATGAGATGCAACCCAAATGGAGCATGCCGGTCGGGTCAAGTATATACCAAATAAGTTATGGACTTAGACACCTTATCCAACAGTTGTGACTTCCTTGCTACATGTATGGGTCCTGTGATATCAGTAGTATGGGCCAGTACTACCTTCCACACCTACCCATATTTGTTTGAAGTATCATTACAACGCCCTAATACTATACTCAACTTACTATGCGCTCAACCCTCACTAATAGGGGACATCGCCTATCTCGCAACTGATCCTGCAACTCCGTACCATTCACACATCCCTGAAACTTCCATCAATCCTTGCAGCCCTAGTGTATACTGGTTACACATAACGCTGGATGTGATACACTTTCGAATATCTGATCCTACACTAAGGTCGAACCAGACATTCTCAGGCTGTAAGATCTTGACTACACACAACCGTGGTGCATACACTAAACATCTACAGTTATGATGTGAATTCCATATACACGAACCCTAGGCTAATAGGCATCATATAATCAGGAAAATCTATCATGCGATTCCTAAGGATCCCTAGCTAAGCGCTTGCATGCTGTTCTAATCATATCAGAATATCAAATAACTGTATGGTATTTTGGGGCTAACTTATAGGCTCCGACCGATCGTACTCTCTGCATCCTCCATCCTTATCTTGAAAATCATTTAAAATTTTTGCTTTCCGAAATTCTCCTTGATTTGAGACTGGAGTCACACAAGTGTTCCTCCAATTCGCTCAAACCAAGGCTCTGATACCAACTTGTAACATCCATCAAATTTACACCAAATTTAAACTTTTAATTTTAACCAAAGAAATAATTAGTAATTGTTTTTACAAAAAATTTCCAAATCATTTATCATCAGAGTGTCCCAAAATAGTTCATAAGGATACGGAGCGGTACGGTCACGCCTTCGCCTTCGCCTTCCCTCGATCTCCTGAAGCACCTGAAACAATAAACTGAAAACTGTAAGCCTGAGGGCTTAGTGAGGTATCCCCAAAATACCAATACCGAACTGTCAGAAACCATGTCAATAATGAACAATCGATCAACATGCATACTAAGCCATCGGCCTGACTGGTCCGCCCTACTAGGCCTACAGTCTATCTGAATCTATCTCGAGCCTTCGGCATGACTAGTCCGCCACGTGGCCTACAGTCTCCCCGGACCGCTCATAGGGTATGTTGGCCTTCAGCACAAAGCAGAACCGCCTCAACCCAACCCACAAGCAAATAACCATGTGCGCATACTTTCTTAAATAAGCATATACAAACATCAAGCATATCTATCTCGCTGATCAACAATCATAGAATTCTCTCGTAACTAGAGCACCGACCTAGCAGGTTATTAACATACCAATCCCTACAGATCACAAAGGCATAACATACTGTCTCCCCTAATCCCAATCAAACAGATCATATCACATGTAGAATATTGTAACAAGAGCAACTAAAGGGTCAGCCTTGGAGTCGTAGACCCTATCAATATAGTGAGGATAACTCACCTCGCAGATGTCGACTCGGAAGGTAGATCCAAGTATCGGATTACTCATCACAGGCTCCACCACCTATAACCATGGCACAATATACTCATAAGTACTTAGCCCTATAAGGCACTCCATAACCCACAAGTCAAATCCTGATCAAGGTTAAAGTCCTCGGTCAAGGTCAGCAGTCCATGTTGACCTCAGCTCGCCGAGTCCTTGAAGCACATTCCAACTCGCCAAGTCATCAGGGTGACTCGTCGAGTTCCTTCGAACCCCGATCAAACCTTAAGGCCACCCATCGAGTTTCCTCCTTGCAACTCGACAGGTATACACGCAAACATATCTTTGGATAAAACGCATACGACTCGCTGAGTTGTTCTTCAACTCGTCAAGTTTCATGACCATCTTCATCCAACTCGCCGAGTTGTTCAACCAATTCGTCGAGTTCACGACTTGCTTCATCTGACTCACCGAGTTGTTCTTCCACCTCGCCGAGTTTAATGCACATCTTCATATGACTCGCCGAGTTGGCTTTGCGACTCGCCGAGTCCCTTCAGTCATTTTAGCATGCAGACGTCTTTAAGCCATGACAAGGCCCCAAATGGCAGATCTAACTTCCTTAATCCTGATTATCACGTAAAGTTGCAAACTTTACATGCATGCATTGCTTTACAAGCTCTTAATGTCAAATCCAAACTTTTAATGGGTGTTCATGGACCAAGGGGACCTTAATCTTAACCTAAGCTATAATTTTATGCTTGAATAATTCGAAGAGGGTCCAGATCTGAAGTTACAACTTCAGATCTTTTCCATGGATTGCCATACCAACTTGATACCCTTATAAAACCCTAAAACCCATTCAAAGATGAGGTCTTAAATTGAAATAACTAAGGGTAATGGTTAAATACCTTCCCAAGAGATGTCTATAGAAGTAGAATTCGGAGATCCTCTCAGCTCCTTTCCTTAATCACTTGTTTTCCCCAACCTCCTACACCAAAATTCTTCTCTCAAAGCTTCAACACACAATGGCACAGACACACACGGGTTAGAGATGCAAAGGGGATGCAAAGGAATCAAGAGAGGCTTGAGCTTCTTTAAATAGGGGTGCAAACCCTGGGAATTATGGTTTTACTTTCCAGCTCTTACTCGCCGAGGCCCACAAAGGACTTGCGGAGTAGATCACTTAATTCGCGATCCCACCCGTTGCTACTCGATGAGTAGGGCAACCAACTCGTCGAGTAGGGCCAAAATCCAAAAATACTTTATTTAAAGTATTACCTGAGAGTCCGGGTGTTACAAATATGCTCAAATGGAACCACCTCTTAATCATACCCCAAACATTTCCACAGCTAGGAGATGTAAAACATGCTATGGATCTGACTAAGCTACTTAGGTAGATTTAAGCAATAAGCAACCCTACACACTCGAGCCAAAATTTTAAAAGGACCAATATACCTGGGGTCCAAATTTCCTATATTCATGAATCGGATGACACCTTTTTGAAGGTGACACCTTCAGGAGCACCATGTCCCTAACTTGGAACTCTAGATCTGATTGGTGTCTATCGGCATACCTCTTCTGCCGACTCTTTGATGTCTGAAGTCTACCCCGAACCTGTTGTATCAACTCTGTCATCTTGAGTACCACTGCAGTACTCCATATGACTCGCTGACCGACCTCACCCCAACTTATTAGGGTCCTGCACTTCCTACAATAAAGCATCTTAAAAGGAGGTCAATCAACAGTGGTGTAATAACTGAAGGAACGATTAGATTCACAAATCAAATGATGAAATGATTCATAAGAACACACGAGGTAAATAATATTTCAATTTCATTAACGTCTAAGATCAGAACAATTTTGATTATAAGAAAATAAATATTCTATCAGATCAACTCTTACACGATCTTCTATCTAATATCCCTATATATAGGCAACGGAGGGATAAAAGAAGCCATCTCATGTCAACAACAAAGCTACAAACTCAAGGTAACGAAAAGTGTGAGACCGCATCATAACTCACACTAAGTAAATGCATTGTCAAATAAACGTTACAAGATGACACATCAAACTACGAACTCTACAATTTCCCTCGTTGTGCCAGTCTTCTTTAGTAGTCTTTACTTCATGTTTATTTATAGATTCAAACACTTTTGGCATAGTCTTCAGAAGAACAGAAAAAACACCAATCCTCTAGTTCACCATATCTGAAACACAGTTCAACTCATTAGAAGATTTTTTTCTTGAACTTCATTGTATTTGCAAGGATTTGATTTAAAGGCACAGAAGAGTACAAATGTTTATCAAACAAATAGAACATAAAAGTCTTTGAAACGTCATTTTATTTTACTTTGAAAACAACACCCCAATTCTTATTCTCGATACATCCAACCTTGAATGAATCAAGATTTTATGGAGGTTTCATTGACTTCACAATCGTTTTTCTGTTTAAAGCAGATGAGATCTCAATATCCATCTTCGCAATTTCAATGATATATTCTTTTATCAAACACTTCAAATTCGAGCAGATTAGATCATACTTGAATGTATATCTTGAAACAATATTGAGAATTGAAATCCAATCAAATGGACTGATCAAAGGATAACCAGTCAAAGTAAATTTGCTAGTTTCATTCTTGTTTCCACAAACTACCTTGAAATGAATATTGACAAAATCATCAACCTTTTTGATTTCCCTACTTTTAGACCAACAATCTTCTTGATATTACAAGACTCATACTGTGGTTTAAAGTTTTTCACTTAAAATTTGAACAACTTCCTGTTAACCGCTGTGTTTCACATAGCGATTTTACGAATAATTTCGTAGTATCGAAAATGAAAAGTTTTCGCAGTAATAGGCAAATCCAACTGACAATCAACATCATTATCAACTGAGAAAGAGGCTTGAAGTTCCAACCAATAGAGTTTTGGATTGTTGAGATCTTCTTCTTCAATTCTTTAAATTGACCATGGAGGAAATAAAGATTTCTTGTTTGCAAGAATTTTTTCTGCATTCTTCTTCTCAGCTTCCTCTGCATTAAGCTTTGCACTCAAAGCATTAAGCTCATCCAAAAATGCATCGCAATTTGCTTGATTTTTTTGTTGTTCTTTTGTCATTGGTGGATCCAAATTATCTAACTTCTTAGAGACAATTTTTACATTTCGTTTTCCTAATCCAAAAGCTTCATTTGCCTTTTGGCCAGTACTCTTTTCCCTTAAAATTTTCAATTTTTCTTCCATAGATTGCTTCTCCAAACGGTTTTTCTCACGGTTCTTTTCCATTGGACCCATTTGATAAGGATTCTTGATGTTGACTTCTGGAAATACTTTTTCATCGACCCCTTGCTGTTAAGTAGCCTTGCTACTCGTAACATCATTTAACTTTGTGAGAATTGGCTTAAGTTTTGCATCCTGAAGGTGCGAAATATAGTCTACATATGGAGCAACTTTGGTTTCCAAAATCTTAACCAAGTGTTGATTTATTTGAAAATTTTACCCTTTTACAAACAAGAGTTCTTCATTTGTTATTCCAAGAATTAAAGAATCTATTTTCAATTGGTCCTTAAGAACTTGGATCTCTATAGTTGATTCAGTTAAAGCATCCATGACTTTGTTTTGATGAGCCTGACTTGTTTGTAAAGTGAGAATGGAATTGGCAATTGAGTTATGATGATCAACATTATCCTTTTGTGTCACACCCCGCTAAAGCGGAAACGCAAGGTATGACAGCGATAACGGTTTCATTGCAAAAGATAAAGATACATCACCATAGCAGTATTTAAAAGTTTACAACCCATAGCTTCAAAAGAACAAAATACAAGTTTTTCAAAATAACATTGTTCAAAATATAGCTTCATAATAGCTTCAACACGATGCAGCATGCTCTATGATGATGAATCTTTACATCCACTTACTAATTATTTCCTGAAAAAGCATGTAAAACGAGCGTCAACTATGAAAATAGTTGGTGAGTATCACAAGTTTATAAAATCGAGCGTACAATAAGGCTTTTCGTAAATACAAGTACATTGCTTCAATGATAAACAAGTTGATTGCTATTAATGAATACAAGTTTATTGCTATAACGAGAAACGAGTTTGTATGTGTATGAGCAAACAATGAGTCTCAACCAAACCTATGACTGAAGCCCTATCGAGATCTATGCTTATCGTTCCATAGATGAATATGGTATCATGCACTCCAGCGATTCGGGCGAGTGAGGAGTTGTCAATTCCTAATAGCGCTATCCATAACGACCATTGGCTCAAAGAGTTAATGGTTAGAGATAAGGGAAGGGCCTTAGTACGATAAGTTCTCATGTTCCGTGTTGCATAGACATACATAAAGAAACATAGCAATACAATAGCAATCATGTTTGATACAATTCAATTTAAATACAACATGCAAACAGTAATTTTTCTGGACATGCTTTTCCACCCCAAAACATAAAAACCGAAAATAGGGGAGTGCGTGAATACTCACGATGTTTTGTGTAGACACAAGCGGTACTTCGGGATGCACCAACGTCTTACTACCGGGATCCTACGACACCAAACACACGCACTAGTGAGTTTCCATGTCGATATCTAATGCTAATATACTAAACTCTACATATAGGGAAATGCCAATTTATGTTTTAGTATTGGATTTATATCATTTTGTTACACTTTTTCTGATGTATTGAAATTTTACAAGTCGTGCGATTAATTATAACCTTGGAAGGTTAATTTTCCAAATTTTAAGTCTCAATAACAACATAAATTCACGAAAAATAGTATTCGAGGGATAAAAATTCTCAAACTTTTTATTTAACTGTTAATACACAACACTAAGCTGGGAAAATTATAAAAATGGATTTCCAAGCTGTTTAATTATATTTTATAATTTTTGAGCATTTATTTCAATAAAAATTGAAATAAATAGTAAACAGTTTCCAAAATTACCCAAACTTTTTATTTAATTGTTATTATACATAAATAGGCTGGGAAAAATATAAAATATATTTTTCAGTGGTTATTTGTATTTTTCCTTGTTTTATTTCTTTAAATAGTCATTAATTAAAGAAATATTATTAAACAGTTAAAATAAATTACCATAAATTTTTGTAACATCATTTACAGTATAAATATCTTGGGAAAAATATCAAAAGTGGTTTTCATAATGTATAAACTGGTTTTGGGTATTTATGTATATTTAAGTGAATTTTAGTGCAATTAACTTTAGAAAATAAGGGAAAAATAGTTTACAGTGGAGAAAAATATTCAAAATTTTTATGTAACCTCCTACTATATAATATGATATCCTGGCAAATTTTCATGAATTTTGGATAATCAGAACTATTTTTCCCATTTTTAAGCCATTATAATTACCAAAAATTGGGAAAAATAGCTAGACATGATGAAAAATCTTGAAATTATTTTCTTGAGTCACCCATCACAAGTAAGGTATGCGAAAATTGTTAGATAAAATTTTCACATCCTAAAAAGTGGTTTTGTAATTTATCATGTCCTAAATAAAAGAAAATTAGAAATCATATGAAACAGTAACAAAAATTGCTGAAATTTGGTGAGGGGTCATTATTCCCCATAAGTATCATCCATGAATTTATTTAGGATTTATTGACCTCTGGAAGTATTTTATATGATTTATGCCCTTGGTTTTAGCAATAATTCTAATAAATCAAATAAATAACAAAAGCTCTTGAAATTTTCCAGATTATCTCATGCATGCAAGGGCTTTCAAAAGTAAAAATGTTAAGAATGTATTCAGAAGAGAAATGAGGGTAATGATTCCAAACAATTTAAGAAAGTTGCATGCAATAATGCATGAAGTGTAGATGTGGCTGAGGTTCATGAATTTTTGTAGCCCATTCAGTGAGGTTTTAAGCCACGAAATTTCAACCATAACTCACTAGATATGTTAAGTTTCTAAGGTATTTTTCCTAAGATTTATGGTTGGGTTTAAGACCATTGTTTAAGCAAGATAAAAATAGTGATCACAGAAAAAGAGCTGTATGCGCAACCTTTTTGTAAAATCTGCCAAAAATCGGATATTTAATATTTTACAGTAAGACCAGTTGGGTTTGAAAGTTAACTCGTGGAACTAACCAATACAAAAAGAATATCATGATTTGGTTAAAAAATGACTGAGTTATGACTGTTCAAAGTCGAACAAAATAATCTGGCAGATTGCATGTTTGCTTGTGTGCATTTTTAGGGTATTTCAATAAGAACATCATGCATGTCCTTGGTAAGGCCCGATTTCTAACACATGCATGGAATGAATGAGCATCCAAGATGTACTAGAAATGGTTTAATGCTTTCGTTCATGCATGAACACACAAGAAATGGAGAAGAACATGAAATATTATGTTTTGATGTCACATGATCATATGTGCTTCTTTTCCACTCCTTGCATGGGTTTGATCCCGGATTTTCACCATCTTTAACACATGCATTGTGTTATGGTGAGAATCTACAAACCACAAGGGGAGAATAAAGATTTCTAGCCATGGAAAGGCATAGAATCCGAAAAGTAGAGAAGACTAAGAAGAAAAAGAGGTTTAACCATGAAACTATGGAAGAAGATGTTGTTGTTTACCTTGGTTTTGATCTTGAGAGAAGTAAGAACACTTCAAGGGATTCAAAATCTGGAAATTTTGCAGAGGATTGAGAGGATTTTCGTGAGTTTAGAGAGAAGGAAGAAGAGAGTGAAGTGAGAGAGTGAAGTGGAAGAGGTGGAGTAAGGGTTTAGGCTTGATGATTGTGTTTTGGGGAAGAGAGAGGGCATGGGGAGAGGTGATGGCCGGTTTTTGCATGCCTTTTGGCCTCCTCTCTCCTAAATTTTAAACTTTATAAACTTCCCTCCCATATTTTATATAAAAACATTCATTTTTATAAAATGTTTATTAAGCAATTTGATTTATTTAAAAATCTTGTTTTCAACAAATAATTTATGATTAATACTTGTAATTTATATTTCTAGTTCATTGGTATAATCCATAATTTGATTAATATAATTTGATACTAGGAAGTTTATAGCCAAATTTTATAAAGTTTTTAAGCTTTATATTTTATAACTTTGGATTTTTGGCTCTTTAGGGTTTTTGGAACATTGTTTGGTATTCAACAACATGTTGAAGTATAATTAGAGTGTTTTAATTTATTTTTAGAGTTTTATACCCTATTTCAATTATAACAAAGTTTGAAGCTTATTCTAATTATAGTATTGGCATTTCCTATTGTAGCTAAGCAACTTACTAGAATTGTAAGTATCAAGTATATTAGTCCTAGACCTTAGTTGGATCCTAGTTTATGCAAGATTTTTGACCTAATTTATACTACTAGGTCATGGCATGTTGTGCATGAATGGTTATTATAAAGATGCATGAGTCCAAGAATGACCTGAATTGACAGTTGTCACACATGTAAACTAGGGTTATGATTTTTTTGTTGATTTTGGTTAAATTTTATTGAATGTCATAAAGTATGTTGTTATATTTAGGTTATTTGTTGGTAAAAAAAACTTATTGTGATTGTATGTAAAGCAAGGGTATGTTTTTTGGTTGAATTTTGTTAATATTTGTTGAAAGTTATAAAGTATGTCGTTATATTTTGTTGATTAATTGTGAAAACATTTTTGTTTTGATTGCATGTAAACTAGGGTTATGATATTTTTGTTGATTTTTGTTAATTTTTATTGAATGTCATAAAGTATGTTGTTATATTTAGGTTATTTGTTGGTAAAAAAAACTTATTGTGATTGTATGTAAAGTAAGGGTATGTTTTTTGGTTGAATTTTGTTAATATTTGTTGAAAGTTATAAAGTATGTCGTTATATTTTGTTGATTAATTGTGAAAAATTTTTGTTTTGATTGCATGTAAACTAGGTTATGATTTTTTGTTGATTTTGTTAATTTTATTGAATGTCATAAAGTATGTTGTTATATTTAGGTTATTTGTTGGTAAAAAAAACTTATTGTGATTGTATGTAAAGTAAGGGTATGTTTTTTGGTTGAATTTTGTTAATATTTGTTGAAAGTTATAAAGTATGTTGCTATATTTTGTTGATTAATTGTGAAAAAGTTTGTGTTTTGATTGCATGTAAACTAGGGTTATGATTTTTTTGTTGATTTTGGTTAAATTTTATTGAATGTCATAAAGTATGTTGTTATATTTAGGTTATTTGTTGGTAAAAAAAACTTATTGTGATTGTATGTAAAGTAAGGGTATGTTTTTTGGTTGAATTTTGTTAATATTTGTTGAAAGTTATAAAGTATGTTGCTATATTTT